AAGTATTGTTTACTAAGACAAATACGAAAAGGAAAAATTCATACAATCTAAAGTAAAATTATTTTTGTATTAAAAACATTTAGTTTGTCTTTGGTTATTGCTCAGTTTCAACCCCACCTCTTTTTACTTACCTTGTAAACTTCTGGTTTTATTGTCTGGTCCAATAATAAATAAATATAGTACACCTGTTACACTTGGATGGGAGACCGCCTGGCAATACCAGGTGCTGTAAGCTTTTCGAAGTCCTTCATTTGGCAGCTGATACACTTCCCCGTGTCACAGCTCCGCTGCCATTATTTTCTCACACCTACAAGGGCGTTGTTTCTGTCGGTGCTGTGTCGATTCCAGCTGAGCTGCGCTCGGTCCCTGGTGCTGCGCCTGTTTTAAATAGCCAACTCTTGACAGACTCTCTTGCTTTTGGCCATACCAGCCTAGCAATGCCCGGTCTCATCTGAACTCGGAAGTAAAGCAGGGTCGGGCCTGGTTAGTACTTGGATGGGAGACCGCCTGGCAATACCAGGTGCTGTAAGCTTTTCGAAGTCCTTCATTTATGTTACTACCTCTTTGATGTTAGTCTAGGGTAGTCTAGCTCTACCGCCACCACCTGGATTAGAGTTTGGATCAGGAGTTTTTACTAACCCATATATTTCTTATAGAACCGAACTTCTTTACAAAACAATCGGCATAGGAGCGTCCTATCTCGAAAACAAGCGCATTATACACTGTTTTCCCTGGATAATATGTTTCATTAATTTATAAATAATATTGTTTTGACCATCCACACTAAATATTCTTATTATTTTGTTGCTGTCGTACCGTGGATATTTTCTCAAATTATCATTAAACTAACAAGTTACTAGATAAATTAAGGATTGAATCGGTTGTCATCAGTTGAACAAGCCGAGTCCTTGCCAGAAGCGGCCCGGACTCTACAGACAGACTCGGGCCAGATGTGGTTGACCAGAATCGGGCCAGTGCTTAACAGCCGCATCCCAAACGCATGTGCGAGAGCGGGCCAGACTCGGCCCGGATAACACTCGCCGATTCCCAGTCGGAGCTGAGCTCAGGCCGATTACTACCTGCTACCTGTAATGGTATAGGGCGTGGGCCCGCCCTCCATGGCAACTGCTCATTGGAAGATAGTGCCATTAGAATGGACCAAACCAAATCACTTAAAAACCTACTGCAACAGTAAAACTTCGCTTTTTGCATTAGCTCGCTCATTCTCACTGCTGCTCTCTGCCCCTCTCGGCTTGCTCTCTGACACTGCACCGCCATCCAATTGGGTTGCAAAGAACCTTCCTTGCAACCTCCTAAAGTTTTGTAACCATTAAAACTGCAAAAAAACTTCTCCAAACCGACTTTCAGCAGAGTCTGTCACCCCGTTAACCCAGGACAACTTCCACTCACAAGCGAGTGAATCCCAAAGACATCACACTGCAAATTTTAGATAGATTTAACTACCTTGGAGTTAAAATTAACACTCCCTCAGAGTTTATATGGGAACCACTATAAGTGTTAAAAATAACACTTTTGAAAGTGTTAACATTGTCAACACCAAGAGAGTGTTAATTAGCAAACTCTTATTGTGTAAAATATCTGTTAAATTTCCGAAAAAATAGCAGCAGCTGTGGTTGCCAGAATCTTTCTGTGAAAAACATGGAAGTTTTATATAACTGTATAAATTTACTAAAAATAACCATATTTCATGAACATTGACCAAACATTGTTCATTTTACAAAATCATAGCTTAGTGGACAAAAATGTGAAGTCTTTAGATGCAATAATGTTTTCATGTGTGATTGCAATTAGCAAACAGACTTTGACAGCATTAATAACTACACAGTTTCCTTTAAACAAAAGAAGATGCAGCATAACATCAAATTTTCTCAGTTCATCTTGGACTTGAACAGAGACGCTATTATCCTCCACAATGGTGACACAAAAACCGTTTTGCTGTTTTTTTTTTTTTTTTTCACTTTTAGATTTTACGAAAAATACCAGCATCTCTGGTTGCCAGTAATCTGCTGTTTTTAACATTCATAAATTCAGTTTACAGAATATTTCTGTTAAAACACATTCAACAGTCTGTATTTTTTATCGAACTCGCACTGCAAATTTTAGATTTGGTAGATTTAACTACCTAAGAGTTAAAATTAACACTCCCTCAGTGTTTATATGGGAATCACTTTAAGTGTTAAAATAACACTTTTAAAAGTGTTAAAATGTTTAACACTCAGAAAGTGTTAATTAGCAAACTCTTATTGTGTAAAATATCTGTTAAATGTATGTCAAAATACTGGCAGCAGTGGTTGCCAGTAATCTGCTGTATTCAACATTTTACATTCGTAAATACATTTGTTTCCAGAATATTTCTGTTAAAAATACATCCCATAGTCTGTAATTTTCATTCGAACACACTTAAGCCTTAAATTCCAGAGCAAAATCCTAATCTTTAAAAATGAAATGAGGTCTGAGCTGATTAGGATTAAGCCTTTAAATAAAAAACAATCCTTAAAAACTTACTACATTTTGGATCTCTAAAACATAAAGTGACCAAAAACAGAGATAAAAGAGAAAACATTACAGAATAGTGTAAAAGAAAACCTCTGATCAATACTATGATGTTTTTAGGAATAACATTAGCAATTGTGTAAAACTATTTAGGATGACAAAAAACAAAACAAAAAAAAAACATGTTTTAAGCCATGGCTATTCTTCCTATCCAATAAAGAAAAAAAAATCCTAAAATAAAGACTTATTTTGATATAAAATAAAATAATTGTTCCATAAACAAGTTTTATGTGGACTGAAATTGTGGGGAAAAGCTAGTCTCAGCACAATAGGACCTGCTGTTGAAACAAAGACCAAATTTAAGGTTTATTTGGGCTGGAAGTGGGTTGTCATTATTTCTCTGCTATCAGAGTCAGAGATAATTCTATACATTATTATTTTGTGTTCTCTAGATTTCTCATGTGAAATTAAAATTCATGCAAAAGATTTTTTATAAGATCTTATATCACTGATTGATTTATGTTATTCATTTAAAATAATATGTGAATAATAATAATAATAGTGCTATAATAATGATAATACTTTTTTTTATTTGTAATATAATTGTAATTAAAATGACAACTTTGTGAGCCTTGACCAATGCATTTACCAAGCCGCTGTCAGCAAGACTCACTGTGACACTTCTCTGCAGCATGTGAGCGACACAGTTTATATGAACACATGAACTGTCGCTCACATGGGTTAAAGCTATGAATGAAGACATGCAATCGTTAAAAGAAATTGTAACCTTTACTCTTACCAACCTAACTAAAGGCAAAGAAAAAGGGGGTAAACTGTTTTTTACAATTGAGAAAAATAGTGATGGTCTGACAAATACAAAACATGGTATTTTGCCAAATGGTACAGCCAGCAAAAAGGTGTGAACTATGAAAAGATTTTTTCTCCAACTGCTAACATGACTAGTATAAGAGTGTTCATGCAAAAGCTGTGCAAAAAATCTGATTGTTCACCATTCATTCATTTTCTTTTCGGCTTAGTCTCTTTATTAATCTGGGGTCACCACAGCGGAATGAGCCGCCCACTTATCCAGCACATGTTTTAAACAGCAAAGGCCCTCCCAGCTGTAACCCATCCTTGGGAAACATCCACTCACACACAAACTCACACTACAGTCAATTTGAGCTTTTACCCAATTCACCCATACCACATGTCTTTGGACTTATGCCATGTCTTTGGACACAGAAATGCCAACCGACCCAGCCGAGGCTCAAACCATTGACCTTCTTGCTGTGAGGGGAACGTGCTATCCATGGGCCACCGCATTGCCCCTGATTGCTCACCTGATGGATGTAAAAGCAGCATATTTATATGCACCAATAGAATGTGACATTTTTTATAGAAACGCCAGAAGGTTATGAGTAGGCCCACATAAAATCTGTGTGCACAGAAATCCACAGAATTTTAGCCCATCGAGTTTATTTATTTACTTGTATAAATGTGTGTAAATTAAAATTATTTTCAGTTTTTTAAATTAATTTCAGTAATAATAACTAATATGAAAGTGTTTGTTTGATTTATCTTCAATACAGTGTGTAAAGTAATATTTTCTGTCTTTTAGTAGAGATAATATAGAAGAGACTTGCTTTGTTTACCAAACAAGTGGATCAAGATGGATTTGCATTGTAAAATTTTTTTTGTTAAGATACTCCCAAGATAAAACCACATAAATCCGCAGATTTTTTTTTTTTTTTTTTACAAAAATCTCAGAAGAAATAGCAAAAAAAAGTCTGCAGATTCTGTTTGGTTCTAGTTATGAGGTAAAATCTGAAAGAAAAGAGAAACTGGTGTGAAAATTTAAAATAATCACTTTATGGACTCAAGCAGTCAGGCAGAAACTAAAATGTTGATTACTTGTGTGAAGACATTTTTGCCCCATGTATTCTTCAGTATATCTTCATTTGCATTCAGGAGAAGAAACTCAAACAGGTTTGAAACAAGAGGATGAGTAAATGACAGAACTGTAATTTTTGTGAACTACCCCTTTATATGCTTAAGGTAAAGTTAAATATTATTCCAGAAGATAAAAATGACAAGAAATGTGGAATACAGATAATAAGAGACGAAAATTCATATGAAAAAAAATAAACTCGAAGGAAGTTGTAGAAATAGAAAACATGAGGTCTTAATCAAAGATGAGATTTAGTAATGTGTAATGTAGACATGCAAGTAATCATGAAGTGAATTAAAAAGGTTTTTCAAAATTGTCTTAAAAATGTTTTGATCAGCTTCAAATACTAAATATTTCTGTGTGTCTATGTGAGAGAGAGCTGATAAAGTGTAAAGTAAAAAACGGTGAAATTTATCAATAAGTCATTCATGACTCATGACAGTTAGTGGCAAAAAAAGCTGAACAAAAAAAAGACTCTTATTTTGGCGTTGTGCTGTGACGTCATAAGGCGGCGCCGCTTTTGCGCTGTGTTTCAACTGGAGGAAGGTTTGTTTTCAATCTTTTACACTTTTATAAACTGATTGTTTAAAGTTAAAGTTTTTTTTTCTTCCGATGCTAAATTATGTACCTGCTGTTGACGATATTAATTTAACCCTTTATACAACGTAGCACTATAGTAAAGCAAAAGAAAAGTCTATTAAGTGTTTTAATGAAGGTTACTTGATTAAATACCAAAATGTCATTCCATTCTAAATATACAACACTATATATAATAAATGGAGTACTAGTTTTAGTCTGCTCATTGTGTCTTGCTCGGACTCACTCTTTTACCTGATTTCTTGTTTTTGTTAATCACTCTCATATAAATAAACTGTTGAAGAGAAGTTGTTTTGATTCTGATCATTGTTTTATTTATTTTAAACAGGACATTTTTATTTTTTTGTTCATTTTAAGCAGAATAAAGTGTCCAAACACTGAGAAAAACTCCTGCTGAAGCGACTAATCTCCACACTGTTATAAAGATGGCGTTTATTAAAGAGGAGAGTGAAGATGTGAAGATTGAAGAAACATTCACAGTCAAACAGGAAGATCTGCAGAAACAAACAGGTTGATTTTCATTCTCAAACACCAACTCAGTCCTCTGATCCTTATTCAGATATATATTTTAATAATAAGAATACTAAATTAAATCCATCTTGCAGCCCTGAGTGTGCAGCCTAGTTCTCCTAAATACACATAAGCACTCATTGAAAGACAGGAATTCTTTAGGCCTAAATTATATATAAAGCAGTTATCAATCCTTATTATTAAACAATAACTTATTCTAAATTACTCTGGGTTCACATACATTAACATAATGGTATTTGACTTAAAATTTTTCAAATTTGATATATTAGCAGAATAAATATTATGCATAATTTGCTGAATGTGTCATTGAAAAATAAATTAGTGAATAAAGAAAGAAAAAAAAGAAATGAAAGAAAGAGTGTATTTTCAAATAGTTTCAGTGTATCTGGGGGGGAACTTACCAATGGCTAAATGCAGTCTGTGACCAAAGCAGAGCAGTCTCCTCCAGTTATTCACAGATGCTGCTCTAATCATGTTAACTGCATTGTCCGATGTAATGCATACAAGTCTTTCCTCCAACAAGCCCCATGCTTAGATCGCTTCTTTGAGGCCTGTGGCAATAAACTCTGCTGTAAGGTCTTGCGGGAAAAAATGAAGTTTGCAAAAGCTTGCTTTTCATTTCAAACTCGCTGTCCATAAAATGAACGGTCAAGCTCAAATACAGTCCTGCAGTTCTACTTGACCATAAGTCCGTCATGGCATCAAAATATTCGATGGTGCGAATTTCTCGTTCTATTTTTTGGCAGCATTTCGTATACATCCAGGGTAGCACAACATTAGAAAAATGATAGCTTGATGGAAGGCTGTATCTTTTGTCAAGTGTAGTGATCATTATTTTAAACCCCTAACTGTTCACTGTAGTTATTGGACACATGTTCTTGGCTAAGTGGAACACGATCGCCTTAGCTATTTCCTTGTTTCTTTGCGAGCTAGATGGATATGGTATTGCATTATCTCCATCAATAGCTGGTGTGTGGTGAGCGCACTGATGTCGTTGTCCTGTGGCTGCTGTCGCATCATGCAAGTGGATGCTGCACACTGGTGGTGGTGTGGAGAGACCCCCCTCATGATTGTAAGGCGCTTTGGGTGTATGGCCATACACTGTAAATGCGCTACATAAATACACATTACATGACATAAACACTGTGCCTAATATTGTTGCCTGTGTTGTGGAGGGTCGGGAATTCTTTGTGGATGCGGTTTGTGTCTTCAGTCGTTGAAATTCTTGATATTGTACTTTGTGGTGGCTTTTAAGATGCTTTATTAGGTTATTTGTGTTGCCTTGAGACGTACGGACTCATGAACAGAACATGAGCAGAGTTAGCACAAGACTCGTAGCTGCTCAATGACCCATTCCTCGAAACCGAAATAGTTTTAGACAATGGAGTATGACCCCTTTTTGGGGACTAACGATTGTACTTCTGCACTTACTTCACGCTGCACTGCCATTGTATTCACTCCAGATCACTGTAATCTTGTGATGCCAAGCCACTTCAGAGTGAGCGCGCTTGCAATCTATGCGCAGTTACATCATGCTTGTGATGCAGCAGCAGTCCAAACTGTAAACTCCGCCCATTAAAAAACAGCTTTGTCTTTATACAGCAAATCGCGACGATATTTACTGATCGTGGATCCCAAAAATCATTATCATGATAAATATACAATAAACCGTGCAGCCCTAGTTGTAGGTCTCAGATGTTTTTTTTAAGCAAGTCTTCATTTTCCTTTGTTCATGTTCTGCTATCCAATCTGAATCCAAAGTTTATGGATAAAAGTTTTGCTCAGAAATGTCTAAAATATTAAATTATTTATTTATTTATTTATTTATTTATTTATTTATTTATTTATTTATTTATTATTGTATTATTGAATGTATTAAATTATATATTTTTGATAGGACAAAACTAAATCTGGTTCATTGAAAAATTCCTTAACCTGTAGCCCTTTATGAGTCTAAAATTCCATTCATAATTGTCTTAAAATGTCTTTAAAAGTCTTACATTTAACTTGGTGAAACCTGCAGAAACCCTGGTTTAAAGTATGTCAAAAAACCTGGATGCCCCTAATTGTAAAGATGCTGAATGAAATAGACACTAAAATGATTCATTGTTATGAAGCATTGTACAGTATTGTAAACTATATTATGTTGTGAAACGACGTGAGACAAATTATAGTATAACAATAACATTTAGCATTGCACTGACTACAACTGGCCAACAAACTAGTAGAGATTACAGCATGCTGATTATATGCAAAAATTTGAGTGTAAAGTTCGTCAGTATTGACCATATTCTTCACATACTAGCAGGCGCCGCCATTGAAATATTTTTGCTTGAGAGTTTTTTAAATAAATGCTTTGGCATGGGACGATAACTATTTTCAACAAATACCATTTGGCGGTTTTATATGTAAGTTGTTTTTTTTTTTAACGTTTTTTAGGACAATAGTATCTCCAGCAGAAAAGATAACCAAAGATGCCTTTTTAGATGGCATTTCTGCATCTTGACAGGTATATAAAATGTCACCACGTTGGTCTTCAGCTAAGCCTCAGGAGATGCACAAATGCAAGAAAACAAAGACAAAAGTACAAATAAATTAAAACAAGTAGCAAAGTATGTCATCTTGCCATCTCCTCATCACTCCAGTTTACAGCAAACGTGGCATTTAGAATTTGTATGTTAATTCATTAATTTTCCTTCTGCTTATGCTTAGTTCTGACTGCATGATTTTAGCCCTGATTTTTACTTGCCAACAGGTTTTGAGAAATTGCCGACAAATGCCTGACATCACAGGCAAATTGGTGCCCATTCACTTGAGTGAAAATCACACAGTATGAACTAAAGATGCCATCTGAGAGAATCGCCAATGCCTGTTAGATATTTGGCATGCTAAATATCTGGAGCTGTTGGCGATTCAAATCATGCCGTGTGAAATGAGTTTTGACTGATAATAACATTAACATAATAACATAATTAATAGCATTGGCAATCGCCTGCAGCCTGTCATTTTCATTTGTGGGTGAAACATCCATCTCATGCTTCTCGCTTTGAGCCTTCATACTAAAGTTAACTTTTTTTTCTTTTAAAGACCTGATGGTGCTGAAAGAAGAGACTCTTCATCAGAATGTAATGGAAGAGAAACAGCAGTTTGAGAAACACCAAGACATAACGACTGATGAAAAACCCACACTGACTAAAAAGACTTCATCACGTGGAAGACCTCGGAAATCCAAATCTGGATGTAATTTCAGCTGTAAACAGTGTAGAAAAAGTTTCAGTCAAAAGCCAAAGCTTGATGTTCACATGAGAGTTCACACAGGGGGGAAACCTTACACCTGCGAACAGTGTGGAAAGAGTTTTAGTCAAAAACAAAGCTTTAAAACCCACATGAGAATTCACACTGGAGAGAGGCCGTACACATGTCAACAATGTGGAAAAAGATTCAATCATGTAGGAAACTTTGCAGCACACAAGAGAATTCACACTGGGGAGAGAAAGTACACATGCCAACAATGTGGAAAAAGCTTCTATAATACAGGAAACCTGGCAGTACACATGAGAATTCACACCGGGGAGGAACCTTACTCTTGCTCTCAGTGTGGAAAGAGTTTTAAGCAAAATGTCACCCTTAAAATCCACATGAGAACACACACTGGAGAGAGAAGATTTACTTGCACACAGTGTGGGAAAAGTTTTTCTCAAAAGCAAGACCTTGGAATCCACATGAGGATTCACACTGGAGAAAAACCATACAAATGCACAGAGTGTGGTAAAGGTTTTCCATATAAAAGCACACTCAAACACCACATGATAAGTCACACTGGAGAGAAGCCGTTTGCATGTGTTCAGTGTGGAAAGAGCTTCACAACCAAAGCTAACCTCATGAACCACATGAATGGTCACACTGGAACCATAGTGTTCAGATGTGATCAGTGTGGAAAGAGTCTCACACACAAAGACTCCATTAAGAACCACATGGAGACTCATTCAGTAGAGTGTTTTAGATGCAGTAAATGTGGAAAAGACTTTAAACATAAAAGAAGCCTCAACACTCATATGAAGCTTCACAATGGAGAGCAGAGTCCTCAAAAATGAGCCCTTGTCCACACAAACACGGGTATATTCAAAACGGCAGCTTGTTCATGTAGTTTTTCTGTTCATTTAGTGAGGTTTATTTATGAGCTACTTTCAAGAGGATCACATGCTTATGATTGTTCACGGCTGGTCCTGCATTAGCTAACACAACTCAATACAAATAACTAGAGTTTTTTTTTTTTACCTCAGTTATCTTCTTCTTGAAGAATCCCCCTACTCACCCTCCTTTCTAGATTGGGTGACACAGAGACCTGGTAGTTAGCACTGTTGCCTCACAGCAAGAATTTCACAGGTTAAAGTCCCTCTGAACCAGTTGACATTTGTGTGAAGTTTGCTCGTTTTCCCTGTGCTCACATGGGTTTCCCCCATGTTCCCCCCAAAGCCCAAATACACATGACCCAAGTAAACTGAACATTCAACAACACATTATTTATTTGATAAACTCTTCTCTTCGTAAGAACTTTGGTCAGCTTACTTATTTCATGTTTTAGAGTCATCAATGTAAGAATTTACTGAGCTGCATTTCTCCTCCTAACCAGAGGGAGGTGCTCCTGACCTTTCACACACCAGTATCCAATTTCTACACACCTTCCAGAACATTGGATGGCACCACTTTCCCACCATCTGCTGTGTGCCACCACTCAAGCTAGATTAGCAACACTTGTGTTTTGCCCTATCAAAGTTTGTGTGTAACAAGCTAGTGTTAATTCATTCATTTTCTTGTCGGCTTAATCCCTTTATTAATCCGGGGTCGCCATAGCGAAATAAACCGCCAATTTATCCAGCAAGTTTTTTTACACAGCAGATGCCCTTCCAGCCACAATCCATCTCTGGGAAACATCCACACACACACACACTCATACACTACGGACAATTTAGCCTACCCAATTCACCTGTACCACATGTCTTTGGACTGTGGGGGAAACCGGAGCACCCAGAGGAAACCCACGCAAAGGCCACACAGAAACACCAACTGAGCAGAGGTTCGAAACAGCAACCTTCTTGCTCTGAGGCGACAGCACTACCTACTGTGCCATTGCCTCGCCCCTCGTGTGTTCAGTCTTCAGCCATTATTGTTCTCCTGATTCTCTTGAGAAGCTAAATGACACTTTATTGTTGTGTTTTTTTGTCAGATTTGTTTTGCCTGTTTACTGGAAGCTCAGCTTCAGTCATTTCTGTTGTACTTTGTATTCTTTTTTTCAAGTAAAGATCAGTTGTTTGTTTTTTTCTAAAACTAAATGCCTCAAGTTCCATTATTAATTTTCTGCTCTTGGGTTCATAAGTTGAGGAGTTAGCTCAGCTGGGAAAAGCCCCAGCTTTGAGTCCAAGAGACCTGGCTTCAATCCTCACCTAAATCTTATAATCTATATGTACATTTGAGTCAGATTATGAAATTTTGACTTGATCAAATCTTGATGTGTTGTGGGTAACAAATAAGGACTTTGGTTTCAAAACACATTTGTTTTGATTGAATAATTTGAGAAAAGAAACAAGTTTCCTTTTTGAAGACAATTAAACTTTCTGTAGACAACTGGTTGCCTTTAAAGATATGTTCATGTGAAAACTCCCACATTACTACAAATAAATTGTATAAATAAACAGCACATTAGAGCAGATGTACAGTTGCATACTAAAATAGCATATTCGTTTTGTAATGATTCCAAGCAAAAAAACAGCATATGCAAACATTAAGTTTTTGAAGAAACTTTTTTTTTTAATTACTTACCATCAACACTAACACTCCACAGTTATTTGAGCAATGTTGTTTGGGAATGCCCTGGTAATACAAAAAAACAAAAAGAACACCACTATTAACAACAACAATTAGTAAAAAAAAATAATAATAAAGTGAAAACATTAAGTAGTTAAGGAACAATGTTTATGGGTGATGCTTACTGGAATTTCATCAGCACTGTACTCATCCCATGTGTCTAAACATACATGGTGTGCTAGTTTTCTGTAGAGAACAATATTAAAAGAAACAAACATACAAAACATTAAACATTTAAATTGAAAGCTCTCATATCACAGGGCCTACAGTCCGTCAGACATTTAGATGGGACTGATTAAAATAATATCAATGAACATATAAAGATAGATAAATCAGAACAAAGAGGAAAAAAGTGAAAAAAAAACAGAAAAAAAACAGGGATATGTGGTTTAAAACAGAACTACTATTATCCCGAATTCTTAACTTTTCACTCATAAACCAATAACTGCTCAAGTAGCGTGTATCATTGAAGCTCCGTCCAGAGAGGGAATCAAGCCAATAGATCTCCCTTTTTTTTTCTTCATGATCTATGACAGTGCAACTTTAACATTACATTTCATGAACTGAATCCTTTTCAGGTTTTATATTTAAAATAAGTGGAACAGTTTAATATTTTCTATTTATTTACTTGACATTATGTATTATATTGTCACAGACATCGATCATCCAGTGAATGCTTGTCCAAGAAGGTAGTAAAATGATGTCATGACTTGCCAGATTTTCCTTAAACAAAATCATAAGAATTTTTAAAGAAATGTAGTATTTACAACACAAACACTAAATGACTTATTCTACACTGCATCAGTTACAAAATCACACAATAACACTCACAGGAACATTAGACAGTGGGTCACCACACATTGGAGGCAACCAAGTCACTGTCACATATGCACTGAACACATGGACTGTTATACCCTGTTAAGTGAAAATAAATTAAAATACAATTAAACAAGCAGATACAATCCTTTACATTAAATACAGAGTTTTTTTTTTTGCTCTAGGTCATTCTTTGCATTACCTGAAGGCCAGCAACATCCTTTATTACAGAAAGGCAAGCATTTAAAATCTGTAATCATTCAAGGATAAATTTATTCTACTACTTGGGTTAAGGTATTGATATACCAAAATGTGTTTGCAGAATCTTACTGTCGCCTCTACATCTTGAAGTAGTCCCAATGTTTGGAAATACAACCTGGTGAGGACTGTGCCTCCAACAGATGCTAGGAATTCATCTTTTGGCCCTCTCTCCAGTAAGGCATGGTTTAACTATGAAGAGAACATACTATAATATTCTGCAATACAATATCTTTCTCACTGTTCATCTTTATGCATTTTAGTTAAAGTATGTTTAATGATCATCTAATGAATAAACATGTTTCATGACATATAAATCTAACCTTCTCCAGCTGGACTGGACTGGGTGGCTGTGTCCAGCATGCCTTGTTTGGCTGCACACATTCCAGAGTGAAAAAACTCCCAGTGGAAGTTTGAACAGGCACTACAAAATATATAAAATTTAAATAAGTAGCAACAACACCCCATTTAAAATGACAACCAATATGAAAGAAAAAATATAAACAATTTAAATTCTTACAGTTGTTGCGTTGGTTCACTAAGGATCTCTTATCAGTCTTAACAGAGGGTGGAAGTGTGCCTTTAGATTGAAAAACAGTTGATGCATATGTATAAAAGGTACACTGCAAAAAAATGCTTTTCTTGCTTAAATTTTTTTGTCTTGTTTCTAGTCTAAATATCTAAAATTTCTTATATCAAGAGGCAATTTCTAGATAAGCAAAACATATTTTCTTGTTTTGAGAAATAATATGCCAATAATAAGTGAGTTAAGCAAAATAATCTGCCAATGGGGTAAGCAAAATAATTTTGTTTTTTTCTTTTGACGTAAGATTATTTTGCTTGTTTTAAGGAAAAACTCACTAATTATTGGCATATTATTTAACACTGGCTCATGATCAGGTACAATCTCCAAGTCAGAAAACACATGCTTGTCCGTGAATCTGTGGGCTAAGACAAACAAAAATAATAAGAAAAAAAAGGTTAAATGCTGTGAACTATGTTGCCCTTTGAGGTAGTCATTAAAACTTTAATAAAATATTTACACAAGTATGAAGAATATTTTAAAAAATTATGACCTTACCATTAAAATCAGATTCCAAAGTATGGTTGCCATGGAACAATTTATTAAAATGTTCTATTTTCTTTTGGTTATGTACAAGATTCTGGTGGTGGAGAATATTTCGTGCCAGAAAGATGTGTGCTGCTGGTCTTAACATATTCATGAAGTAGTTGTTTTTCTTTACTTCTGAAAAAAGCTGCTCTGCACGCTGGCTATTAACTTTTCCAGCCAGCTCTGGCATAAGACCAATAGTGCGGAGCACATCTCTCTTGTCCATACTGCTGCTTTGGTGGAAAACTACAGTAGTGCTCGGACAGACCGGTCACAGGGTGGCAGTCAGGATCTGCAGGGGTTTTTTTTGTGTGTGTGTGTGCCAGCCAAGGAAAGTGAACTTTTAGTTTTCCTTCTTTTGCTTGTTTAATATTTTCAGCAGAGGGGTCTTGCACTCTGCCCTCAAATGGGTGGAAAGGTGGACATCGTGGACATCTTTTATTTGTGTGTGCAACTAAGCCTCGAGGGTAATCATAGATTGTGACATTAGGAAAATTTTTCCATGACAGCAGAAGGTCTGTGAAATCACGTGGACTCTCAGCTCTGAGGTTAAATTTGATTGAGTAAACAATCTCACACGGACACATGATTACACCCACACCACCTAAAAACACAGAAAAATAAAAAATTAACTAAATTATTGAAACACTAAATTAAACATTTCAACAATAATATAGTACATTTTAACGTGGATCAAAAACCTTTCATAAATTATCCTAAAACTTTTGAGCAGCAAGCGTTCATATATTAGGATAATTTAAAAAACTTCGATCCGCTTCAAATGTTTAACATATACTGTACACATGTGGGCATATATACATATACAGTACTTATACATGCAGATACATACATGCCATAACTCACCTGAAGCACCCCAAATCTTTTCAAACACCTTGTTGTATGTCACTCTATTTGACATTTAATCACAAAGTCTGAGGATGAGATCCATTTTGGAACCAACATTATCAACCCCAAACTGTCGACACAGCTTTTTGAAATCTGCAATCTAATCATAAGCATATTTGAGAGTAAGTTTAGCAAAAAGTGAATTCATTATTTATTATTAAATAAATTTTAAAATACAAATCAGGCATGTCTCCATTTTCTCCCTTTTCGTTTTGTTCAATTCTTTCAACCCATTCCTGTGGTATTGCTCTTTTTAAATCCTCAAACTGTTTTACAAGTGTTCCTTTCCCTTAATTCACTTCATTTTCAGATAACATGTCTTCAATTACCTGTAATGGAAGATAGCCATTTATCACCTCATAGAGCACATCCTCCATTTGCCTAATTCCAGCTTTCCACCATTTTTTTATAATATATTACATTTCCATCTTTCTTGACATTCATGTTTAAAAACAAAGGTTGTTCTAAGAGCTGGTTTCTTCCTTTAGGTACAATGAGCACATTTTCTAAAAAGTTTCCCCAAGTTTCTAAAACCTCTGTATAAAATATTGGTATACCTGTCCACATATCTTTTTTGTTTTCATACATAATACACTACATCCCTTATTTACTTGACCACATTTCTTTAAAAAATAGCCCATGACACTTTTCCACACTGCTTTACTCTTAACATCTACAAAACATTTTACCAATTTTGTCCTTAATGTTTTCATCCTTAAAAGTGGGTATGTCCTTAAAACGTGTCGTATGCTATTTTTGCTCTTCCTTTTCCTGATAAGAAATCTAAAACACATTTTCAAAATTCTTTTATAGTAATCAAAAGGCAATGGGGTAACACTCAGCACATACCACATTTTTGAGAGTTGAAAAGAGTGTGTGTATGAGAATTGAAAGGGCAGATGGATGGAACTTAGATGGAAATTAGATTGAGATATTGGAAACTGAGAAACCTGACATTGAAGGCAAAGGTTTTATTGATTAATTCTCTAATACATTAATCTTAGCTCCAGTTCCTTTACAATACCTCTTTAAAATCCCCATTGCCTTTGTTACACTTTGGATGTCTTCAACCAACAAAGTTGTGTCATCTGCATACTGGTAAATTGGCTCAAGTTCGGTTCTTTCTTCTATTTGTATTCCTTTTGGATTACAAATAATGGTTCAGCTACTAATGTGTACAGTAGTGCAGATAGTGGACATCCTTGTCTTATAGACCTTGTTGGTTGAAAACATTCCGATAAAAAAACCTTGCATTTAATACATGTCAAAATATTATAATAAAAAATGTTGATCCATTTCCTAAAATTCTCCCCAAATCCAAAGTTTTTAATCACTTCAAACAAATAGTCATTTTCTCTGTTCCTTGTTTTAATTCTCCATTTTTATCCAACACCTCTTTCATTAAGTCTCCTTTCTGTCTAGTCTTTTCTAAGTTAAGGAAGTATTTTGTACTTCGATCTCCTTCAACAGTGTACTTTGCTTTGCTTCTAATTATATTATTTTACAATATTTTATTGAACATTTTTTTGTCTAACTTCATGTTGTCCCACTATATTCTTTTATCTTTCCTATACATTCTATCCAATTTACTGTTTACAATTATTTGTTGATTTTTTTTTCTTTGTATGTCTCATGTTTTAAAATTGTTGTGTTCAAAATCCATACACCTAATCCCCTTTCAACTTTTACACAATCTAACTTCACACAAAAAATCGAATGATCACTAAATCCAAGGTTTTTGTAAAATACACTTTTGATATAGTCTTTCATTTCTACATTACATAACATATAATCAATCCTACTTCACCTCATTTAAAACCAGTTGCATTCTTGAAAATTTCCTCTTTGTCTTATTTCTCTCTCTCCACACATCTATTAAATTGCATTCTGTCATCATTTTCAGTAGCTCCTTTCTCCCCTTGTCTTTTCTATATACCATCGTACTTCCCAGATCTAATTCTGTGAAAACAGTATTAAAATCTCAAACTACAATAACATTCTGCCATTTTTTACATTTATACTAACGTTTTTAAAGAAGTTCACTTTTTCATTTTTTTCATTGGATGCATGAATATTATAAATTATGAAATTATCTTCAACTTTTTCTAATTTCATCGCCATGCTTTTCCCAACTCCATCCTCAAATATTACCTTTTCTTTTTCATATATACCTTGTTTTATTCAAATCACTACTCCACAATCCACTTTATCCTCTCTATTGTTATAATATATTTGACCATCCCATTTACTTTGAACCATTTTAACCATTTTGAACCACTTTAATTTTTCCAATTTTTTTCTTGCAAAACAATCATGTCAGCTTCTTTACATAACACCAACATTTTTTCAAATTTCTCCACATTCAATAAACCTCTTGCATTCCATGATAAAAGGTTAAAAAACGCTTGTGTCCACTGTTCTTGTTCTGACTTCTGTTTTTCGTTCACATTTTTTCCTCTCCCCTTATATTGTTTGTTTCCTCCTCCATTACCCTTGTTTTTAAATCTTCTTCTTCCTTGTTTCTTTCATGCAACTGTCCGTCCTCTTGTTTTGTTCCCCCCTTCCTCTCCTTCCATCCAACATTCACACTTGTTTAAAAATTGTATAAATTCTGGATGTCACAGTGTAAAACTAAGACACTGTGACTAACAAACACACTTCACATTACACTCATACATACTTTTAAACATGGACCTTTGTGTTATTTGTATCGTGCATGTGTGTGTTTGTGTAATGTGTACATGTTGTTTTTTCTGTCAAGATTAGCATTGTGTTTATGTAAAAATTTCACTTTTATGTCAAACAATAGCCCATATCAACACTGAAATAACCACAGACACATTTTCTTTTAAACTTCATTTATTAACCAAACATAGAGAGTTTACATATACTTACCAGTTTCCATTTCTCAGCACCAAACCTGTTTAACTTTCGAACAAAGCCATTTATACAGATTTTTCCCGCCTTCACTTTGGAGCAGCCATTTTCCATAACATCATCAGGGTCACAAGCCCCTGGTCAGTAAATAAAAATCACAGTTTTGTTGTTTAAATTTGTATTGGTTATTTGTTGTGTTGTATTTTGAGTTTTGTATGCATATTCATTTACTTGCATTAATTTATATTTCTGTTGAATGTCTTTTTATGTATTTTTTTGTCTACATGGTAACCCACTACCAGTAAAATGGTTTAACCCATGGGCGGGGCCAATACAATAAAATGGCCCCAAACATTTACTTGGAGTGGGTAGTTGTAGGAGAAGGTTGTTTGTGTCAGTATTGTTAACAGATTTTGTTCAGGTCATTTACTTGATTTAGCTGAACAAGCCTGTATATACATTGTAAATATAGAATAGTTTATTTTTCTTTATTGTTATTTTGTCACTTTCACATGTTTTGCTGGATTTTTGTTTTCACTTTGTGTAAATAAATCACTCTTCACTTTCACCAGCGGCTTCTGTGACACTTTTTTGCCTCCATCCACCCGGTCAATCGTAACAGTTGGTGTCAGAAGTAACTCGGGTGAGTGTCACAGAATTACCAAATATGCCGCCTAAGAAGAAAACTCAGCTAGCAGCTGATGTGGATGTCAATCGTAACACTGGACATTTGACAGTATTACAATTCCTTGCAGTGTCCCTTTTCTTCACATTTATAGCACTTAAAATCTGTGCAATCCATTAACAGGTGCTTTTTTTTAAAATCATCATATTACATTAACATTTAAAAACTCCAGAAATTTCACAAAACAAATACATTAAAATAAACTTTCTTCATAAAATAATATCCTCTTTGGGCAGCTTCCACTTTAAACCATTTAAAACATTATACACTTCATCATTAAACACATCATAAAAGCTTGGTAACATATCTTCTTTAAAATACCAGTACAGTCTTTCTATGCATCTTTCCATTTTTCTTTTTATTACATTCCACACATTAACAGTTGCTCAGGGCTCATGCACAGCCTACAGGTCTTCACTTGGTGGCTGTGCATTACCCTGAAGTACCTTTTGCTGTTTCCAGGTTTGTGCTACATGGGAATAATGCCACCTCCTTAGGGAACCTTACTTCTAGGAACCTTGTTCCGTCCTCAATGTCAGTGCCTGTGTAAACTCTTCTTTTTATTTTTGATATGGGATAAACTCCCCATCCTTCTAATTTTTCTAAAATTTCTCTGTCATCAAGATAGACTGGCAGGTGCACGAAATAAACAACATAATCCCTGTTTTGGAGCTTTTTTTTAACAGTTCATTTCCTTAATCAACAGTTCATAGATCAATTCCTCACATGTTTCTTGCTTTACCATAGTTAGTTCAAACTCTTTTCCTTGCCTCAGTCTCAAAGCCAGAATCTTCCCATGACCACCCTTGTCTGTCACTGCTTTAATGATGTCCACAGCTCTTACCTCATTTACTTCTTCGGCATTCACTATTACTGTTACTTCTTTAAAATATTTTCTTCCAAGTTTTTCCTTTGTCCAGCTCGTTGTCTATCGTCCAGTCCATTGTCCTTAACCATTCTTGCCCCTCCATCCAGTCTAGTTTCATTTGCCAAGAGAGTCTCTGCATCCAGCCCAGTTTCGTTTGCCAAAGAACGGTCCATTTTATGCCCAGGAAAAGTGAAAAAAAAAAAAACCTCCAGTTAGCAAGATGCTGCTCTCAGGTGGTTTAAAAAAATAAAATAAAATAGACTCTTTTTCACTCCATAAAAACAACACAAACAAACACACAACAAAAATTATAAAATGAAGGAGACCCTTTCTCCAAACTGCAGCTGTTCACTCCCTGTATCGCTCACTAGTGTCCTCTACTGTTCCCAGGGTGGTACGGCTATAAGCAGGCAAGAATTCTACCACTGAGCCACCAATGTTGACACATATCTTTCCTTGCCTTTGTGGTGTGTGTGTGCTGCAAGGCTGTTACATGCAGCTGGAAGAGGAGCAACACAAAACATGAACTGCATTGGCCCAGAATCAGACCCGGGTCTCCTGCATGGGAGGCGAGAATTCAACCACTGGACCACCAATGCTGCCTCACATGTTCACCTGCCCTTGTGGGCTCTGAGAGCTGCCAGGCGGTTACATGCAGCTGGAAGGGGAGCAACATAAATTGCATTGGCCAGGAATCAACACAAATCCACAAATGCTGACCTGCTTATTATTTTGCCATTGGCCGGGAATCGGACACGAATCTCCCACGTGGCAGGTGAGAATTGTGTGTAAGCGAGGCGCAACTCTGCGCAGGAGTTTAGACCGGGTTTGTTTTGGTCTAATTTAAAATCTATTTTAGTTTCTCAAAATAGCAACGCGCCAGCAGTGCGCCTCAGAACACCTTCTTTTTTAGACCAGAACGCCTATGGGTGCACATATGAGCGCTAATGCATTTGCTATTTAAACAGCGTAGCGCAACGCCTCAAAACGACTCAAGCTTAAACTAGCAATATA